TTCTCAGTGTATATACACCAGGCAATATATAATTTCAGTTATATACACCAGGCACATATAATTCTCAGTGTATATACACTCAGGCAATATATAAATCTCAGTGATATATACACCAGGCAACATATAATTCTCAGTGTATATACACCAGGCAATATATAATTCTCAGTGTATATACACCAGGCAACATATAATTCTCAGTGTATATACACCAGGCAATATATAATTCTCAGTGTATATACACCAGGCAACATATAATTCTCAGTGTATATACACCAGGCAATATATAATTCTCAGTGTATATACACCAGGCAACATATAATTCTCAGTGTATATACACCAGGCAATATATAATTCTCAGTGTATATACACCAGGCAACATAAATTCTCAGTGTATTATACACCAGGCAATATATAATTCTCAGTGTATATACACCAGGCAACATAAAATTCTCAGTGTATATACACCAGGCAATATAAATTCTCAGTGTATAAACACCAGGCAACATATAATTCTCAGTGTATATACACCAGGCAACATATAATTCTCAGTGTATATACACCAGGCAACATATAATTCTCAGTGTATATATTCACAAAATGATGTACATTACCAGTGTAATAAACAAAATTCTCACACAGCATCATGGAACATAACACTCATTTTTATTATGCTCAGGATGAAGCACTAAACTCACAGGGGTCATGAAGCACATGTGGAATGGAAGGCAATTAGGTTTGGATCAAGAAAGGGAAGGGTCAGTCTAATTTCTTCGATTCAGAGCCCTTCCTTGGTATTAAGGCACCCCCCCCCCCCGAAGGATCGTTAAGAGAAAGGTCTAAAATTAAGGCTCGTTCTTGTGTACAACATCTCTTCATACTTTTCCCTTTGAGTGCTGATGCTGGAATAAGGCTCTTCATACAAGGAACTGGAGCTGCCCTCCCCTTCCTCAGATCAAACCTGATTGCTTCCCACTGCCTAGGTGCTGAACGACCCTCACAGGTTTGACAATTTCCAGCGAGTATAATATACCACATCAGTAATCTTAACACCTTTATCCTCATGTCTTGTTTTATATCAGAATAATAAAATTGTGACAAATAACTAAATTATACTAGTAAAATAACACAACTTGTATGGGTCGTTCAGTGAAATATAAAAAACTAAGCAATAGAGATATTGTAATTCTGCAACATTCATTTTCCTGTTACATTCACAAGGGAGCACTAAGCTCTTAAGGGTCATACATCACCTGGTCCTTTTTCCTAACATAATATTGCACAGATCTGAAGAACACTCTGAAGTACAATACTGTAATTAGAACCTAAGTTATTATCTAATTTATTTCTTCTACAATGATCCCTTATTTCTGCTAAACATTTTAAGTGTACAAATTACTGCAGAATTCATTTACAGATTTATAGATTTCTGTTGAACGCATCTCGAGAATAAAAAGACAACAGCCTGTAACTTTTGCACACTGAATCTTTTGCATTTTGATATTAATATTTTTGTTTTTAATGCGTCTGCCATTTCCCACCGAGGCTGGACGAAAACAGAAAAAAAAAAAAACATTCATCATTCTCATCAAATCAAATATATATATTATGTTTAAGAATGCTTATACTATCAACTTATTATTTTTAGCCATAAAAAGTGATCATTTCTCTCTCTCTCTCTCTCTAAAAAAAAAAAAAAAAAAACTCGGCCTTTACAGCAAGCAAAATAAACAATGCTATGTATATTATATATACAGTGTATAAATTAATTTAAATACATAAATCACAGACAAGAATGGGTTAAAATTAATGCCTGGTAGTTTATTTTACTATCTGCTAAACCCATCTGGGTTATTCAGAGCAATAACTGGTCGAAGAATAAATTTCAAATTCCTAAGAAACCCACATATCGAGAAGCTTACGACTTTGTAAACAGTTCCAAATTGGATCGTAATGTTATTCTAAACTCTCCTATGTGGGGGTTATCTGTGTGTTGTTCCAGTTGCCATATTGCCTTTCACTGTACAGCAGTAGCCCGGAACCTAACCTGCTATGCAATTGGGGCCCTCCTGTACAGCAGTAGCCTGGAACCTAACCTGCTGTATAAGTGGGGCCTTCCTGTACAGCTGTAGCCCAGAACCTAACCTGCTGTGCAAGTGGGGGCCCTCTTTTACAGCAGTAGTCTGGAACCTAACCTGCTGTATAAAAAAATTGGGGTCCTCCTGTACAGCAGTAGCCTGGAACCTAACCTGCTGAATAAGTGGGGCCCTCCTGTACAGCTGTAGCCCAGAACCTAACCTGCTGTATAAGCAGGGCTCTCCTGTACAGCAGTAACCCAGAACCTAACCTCCTGTATGTAAAACCAAAACTTGACCAGAAACCAGTCACAATCCCAGCAGTCTCCATAAGTCCCATACAACACCTGAGGGAATGGAAAGTGGTCATGCCTGATCAAAGGGGAAATGCAGCTCAAACTTCTTGGATCAAGAGCTTTCCATTAGCACCATCATACCACTTCCTCCATCCCTTTGAAAGGCATACTAAGGACATTTTACTTGCAGTAAAGTAACTACATCCTAGGGGTTGTACAGCACATGGGCATAATGCAGGTAATCATGATTGTTTTATGGAAGGAATGTAGCTCCAGGTCTCTGGATCAAAAGCCCTTCACCAGCATCTATTCTTACCTTCCCTTCCCCCTCTTCAACGTTATGCTACAATTATGGGCAATGACATTACAGGAATAAACCGCTAACTCATCCTTTCAACAATTAACATAGTGAAGCATCATGGAAAATTACTACTACAGCATTATATTATTATTATTAATATACATGCTTGTCATAAAAATGCCTACCATTATACCATATTTTATCCAGTGAAAAAATCGATTACCTTCTCTTGTACGAGATTTTACGATACAAATGTTTCAATACAAGTTTTCCTCTCCACTGGCTGAAAAAAACCTTATTATGCTGGCTAAACAGTCTCCAGACTGTGAAAAATATCATGATGGGCACATAAATAAAAGACCTCAGAGGTGCAGCTGGAAGAAGTTCAGATGCTAAGAGAAATTACCGTAAAAGTTATTACAGTCTCGATACATCTCTACCAATGCAAAGACTTACAAATACAGTAGCAACTAAATTATTTGTCTGATAAATGGTGTCAATAAGTATAGTATAAAGAAAAAAAAAGAAAAAAGAAAACAAAGAGGAGAGAAGAGAGAAAGAGAAAGAAAAAGAAGAGAGAAAGAGAAAGAAAAAGAATGTTTAGATCTTAATGATACCTCTCTCGGGTGAGCAATAGCAAGCTGCAACTTGAATACAAGAGAGGTGCTGTCAGAATGCAGCAAAAAACACAGAGCAACCTGCAAATACATTCCACTATTAAAAATTTTAAGAAACCCAAGATAATTCTTAATGACTGTCAATGAATAAACAGAAGAATAGACTGGGAGTCAAACTGCGATTCATGCATATAGCAGGACCAGCATAACCACTCATCCTATTGTAAACTCATGAGACTGCCTGGCGGGGACTGTTATATGCATGCACCACACTGAGTCTATTCTTGAATTTCTTTAGGCTTTATCAAGATTAAGACTTGACACATTGTTGCAAAGTGAAATACTGTCAGAATTTATATTCTGCATGCAAGTTGCGACTTCATAAAGCTCACCACCGAAAGAAAATGTTGTCTGAACACGGAAAAAGACTTACTCAGAACACTGCATCAATTTACCATTAATTAAAACTCGGCAATGCTTTTTCACAATATAACAAGGCATCTTATTATGCTAAGGGTGATACAATCCAAGACCTTAACACGAGTATGACTAGCTCTAAAGATACCACAGAAAGTAAGACACTTTTTAACCCTAACATTAAAAAATAAAAATAACAAATATTCGTGGGAAGTGTCACACCCAGAGCCATACAACACCAGGGAACTGGATATTCATGGGAAGTGTCACACCCAGAGCCATACAACACCAGGGAACTGGATATTCATGGGAAGTGTCACACCCAGAACCATACAACACCAGGGACCTGGATATTCATGGGAAGTGTCACACCCAGAACCATACAACACCAGGGAACTGGATATTCATGGGAAGTGTCACACCCAGAGCCATACAACACCAGGGAACTGGATATTCATGGGAAGTGTCACACCCAGAGCCATACAACACCAGGGAACTGGATATTCATGGGAAGTGTCACCCCCAGAACCATACAAACACAGGGACTGGATATTCATGGGAAGTGTCACACCCAGAACCATACAACACCAGGGAACTGGATATTCATGGGAAGTGTCACACCCAGAGCCATACAACACCAGGGAACTGGATATTCATGGGAAGTGTCACACCCAGAGCCATACAACACCAGGGAACTGGATATTCATGGGAAGTGTCACACCCAGAGCCATACAACACCAGGGAACTGGATATTCATGGGAAGTGTCACACCCAGAGCCATACAACACCAGGGAACTGGATATTCATGGGAAGTGTCACACCCAGAACCATACAACACCAGGGAACTGGATATTCATGGGAAGTGTCACACCCAGAGCCATACAACACCAGGGAACTGGATATTCATGGGAAGTGTCACACCCAGAACCATACAACACCAGGGAACTGGATATTCATGGGAAGTGTCACACCCAGAACCATACAACACCAGGGAACTGGATATTCATGGGAAGTGTCACACCCAGAGCCATACAACACCAGGGAACTGGATATTCATGGGAAGTGTCACACCCAGAACCATACAACACCAGGGAACTGGATATTCATGGGAAGTGTCACACCCAGAGCCATACAACACCAGGAACTGGATATTCATGGGAAGTGTCACACCCAGACCCATACAACACCAGGGAACTGGATATTCATGGGAAGTGTCACACCCAGAGCCATACAACACCAGGGAACTGGATATTCATGGGAAGTGTCACACCCAGAACCATACAACACCAGGGAACTGGATATTCATGGGAAGTGTCACACCCAGAGCCATACAACACCAGGGAACTGGATATTCATGGGAAGTGTCACACCCAGAACCATACAACACCAGGGAACTGGATATTCATGGGAAGTGTCACACCCAGAGCCATACAACACCAGGGAATGGGGTCATTATCATCAAAACATCCCATCAAAGAACCCTCTATTGTAAGTACAGAACTTTACAAGCATATTATCACAATGAACACCAATCTGACTTATTAAATCAGGTACCCTGATTATATATATAAAAAAAAAAAATGAATTCAAAGCATTTCATGCCAGGATTTATGTAAAATGTATTTTTTCTTGAAAATACTAGCAGTTACACTGTCAAAAATCTGAGACTACCTCAAAATACACACACTATAAAAATGTTTGCACCTCCATTAGCTATGAACCATTGCTATTAGCTGGATTTTCATATATACACACCAATTGAAAAATCAACTTGGTTCGGTGATTTTTAACTCGATAGTTATATACAAAATTTCCTGAAAGATTTGTAATATATTTTCTTTATTTGTATTTGTTGTGAAAGTTCTTGCTATGCAGCATGGCTAAATCTACATACATTTTGGAAAAAAAAAAAAAAATGACAAAAATTGAAATGTGCAAAAACCTTTAAAATTAATAAGCATTATAAAAAGCTGCCCACGAACCCTTTAATGTACTCCTTCAGTCAATGTGACCAGAGAATAAAGAAAAAATTCTTGGAGAGCTTCCACACTAATTATCTATAATTTCATTGCACGTGTATACAATAGTGCCATAAATATTGACGAATGACACGTACAGTACTCAAAATACGTCATACACTAGTACTGTGTATACAATTTTTGTTTATTGTACTGTAATATAACATTTTTATGTAATAAGTACAGTTTACAATTAGTTTACAATACAGTAGTACCAGGTATATAAATCTTGCAATGGTAAAAATCAGCTATGTATATATTCAGCTCAATGTACACAATGTATTGGATACAATATATATATTTCTCCGACAAGAACACAAGTACTGCATCAGCAATTCTTTGAACAAGAATGTCCTGTACCTTACAAAGAATATCTTACACGAGTGTTAAAACTTACGGCATATTTCTAGTGCCTCAATTATCATACAGTGTTCCTAAAAGTTTATCATGCATCCGTTCTAAAAATTCTAACACATTCAAGTCTATAAAAAAAATAAAAAAAAATTATATCTAACTTTTCGAAAACAAATAGAGCGATTAAAACCTTCAGTCACACATTATTTTCATGCAAGATATGTAGTTCATATAGGCCAGTGGACGTGTCCTATTTTTAACAGGTCAAAAAGCCTATAGAGGTACAGTATCTAGAATTCATAACAAGCAGGAACTTAATTAAAAATAATTTGTCTTAAAAAAATCGGCTAATTACCACCATAAAAAAGTCAACATTATGACACGTTTAGTGACATGTTCGGTCATTTAGAAATCACGTACATGTACATACAACTACATTTGGAGTACAAATTAAAAACTACATTTAATGTTACATTAGATGACTTAACCATCATTAACGATCGCTTTTTATACGGCTGTTTAAGTTGCAAGTAAACTGCCATTTTCTCCTTACTTACAAAAGGCTGGGAAAAATGGCCCCTATATTCGTGATAACCATTTAGTGTAGAAGTCATAGTACAGCGGCTAAAATAATTTACTATTAACCAACACTTTAGAGAGGAAACATTAGTAATGGTCGAAGATGGACTAAAACATGGTCTAAGTCGCAACTAAACACTGGTCCAGGACACAATGAAACCTATTCTAAAGTTTCCCGTCCAAGTTGTGGACTTAGCAAAATCCGCAAGATGGAATGCATTGCTTAGTGTTCAGCCTTGTCACTTTCATCGCTGAATCCTTCTGCTCCCATTGCACTGGAGCCTGGGCTCCTTGGATCCTCACTCCGCTCGGGTTTAGACACTGAAAAGATGAAGATATTATATAGTAAGCATTTTAACCATAAATTTCCAGGAAGTGTGAGCATTTCATGGAGGGATTCAGGGAAACCAGTTAGCCGGACTCAAGTTCTGGAGTGGGAAGTACAGTGCTTGCACTCTAAGGGGGGAAGGGGGACATTTGCTGTTTAAAGTGACCTCTAAACTGTCAAATCTACATGCCTCTGGCAGGACAGTGATAATGTGAACGATAGTGAAGTTTCTTTTTCAGCTCACCCTGCCTTGGTGGGAGAAGGCCAGTGATTAAATATAAAACACAGTTCAGGGTTATATATGACTTTCATGAGTTGAATCAGGAATGCAATCGCTTCAAGTTCTGGAGACTTACCTTGCTTGCGGAAAAGACCACCCTTACTTCTCACAGTATTGTATGACCCACACTCCAAGCATTTGTGGCCCAATACGTGGAATGACGTCAAGGACTCCTGAGGGAAAATAAAAGAAATAATGCACTGTATTACACAGGAAACTGCCCAATAAATTTTGAAATCTATTTTCATATTTTGATTCTGTAAAAGGTTCTGTCAAATTATACACAGCACCTAAAATCAAAATGCTGCAATGAACTTGTACAGAAGGACCCTATTATACAGCAGGTTAGGTTCTGGGTTATGTATAAGTAACTATCCCTCGTTTTATTCTTTTAATTCATTCTTATACATACTTCTATTTATAAGATGTATACAACACTTGGGTATATTTATGAAGGACATTTGCAGACCAGTAGCTTCTTTATTCAGCATAGATTATATATTGAAGACAGTGGAAGACCAGGTAATCAATCCCTTAGCCTTGATTTTTAGGTTAAGGGACTGAACACTTATCAATGCTGAGGAACTGATTACCCCCATCTTCCACTGTCTCCGTAAGTAAAAAAAAAAGCAGGTGTTGTACGAGAGTCATTCATCAACTCGACGGTACTGTATGGTCCGTTAATGAATTAAAATTTTCTCTTGAGAGAGTTAGGTACATGTATGCTATAAGCCTCAGCACTGACATGCTGTTGGAGCTTTCAAAGCTCACTCAAATGTTGCTAGGTAAGGTATGTCGGGAAACAGGACAAGTGTCTCCTGATGCGGGTCTTAGTCATATGATGACCCACAGCTGGAGCATTTAGTCAGCTGACTGAGGCCTTAAGAAGAGATTGGATAAATATATGAGTGGGAGGGGCTGGGTTTGATTGGTGTCATGGGGTACGGGAGTTATTTCTTGGGTACCTTTAGGTAAAGGTCGTTTTGATAAGGACCTGCCTCGTATGGGCCAGTAGGCCTTCTGCAGTGTTCCTACATTCTTGTGTTCTTATTGGCTTACCAGTCCACCCCTTTAAAATTTAGTTATTATTATAGCCATTAATTATTTCAAGTGGTGCCTTGGATTCTTCATTCATGGGGGTTACTAGGAATCATACAGTGCTTAAGGAATAGGAGGAAAATTGGGAGAAGGGAGGGAAGTGTAGCTCCAGCTCCTTGAAGCAAGAGCCCATCAAGGCACCCCTTCATTTCCTTGAAAAGCTCACTCTTATACAAGTACAGTACAGTGGAACCCAGAGTTTCGGCCATAATTCGTTCCAGAAGGTTGTTCGAGTGCTGTTACCAAATGAATTTGTTCCCATAAGGAATAACATAAATTTGATTAGTCCGTTTCAGACCCCCAAAAATACACTGACAAAAGCACTTACAATAATACACTTACATAATTGGTCGAATCGGGAGGCGGCCAAAACTCGGGGTACCACTATTTGATTTTACCTTGAATATTAATCAAACAGGAGAGTTCATTAGTTAAAATATTATCAAAGACAAATTATAGCTTATCTAGATACTTTACGTGCAATGTAGAATGCAATACCTTGTGGCAATCCCGACAGAGAACATTGCAGTAGAGATCAGCATATTCGCTTGGCATTGGAGTTTCCTCAATCTCCTCGTCCAGTGACTTCCAAAGCTGTAAGAACGAGCAACGTTATAAGGGAAAAAAGTTTCCCGCGCATGTCTCTTTACAAAACATTAGCTGTGCTATTGTTATATTTTTGTTTTTAACATGCTGGCTGTCTCCCACTGAGGCAGACTGACCAGAAAAAGACACTTTTGCCATCACTCACTATCACTGTCTTGCCAAAGGCACAACAATACAACAATTCAGATGCTCCTCCAAACTCCAAATATCCCCACACCTTCAGAGTGCAGGCACTGTACTTTCCATCTCCAGGACTCAACTCTGGCTAACCAGTTTTCCCTATATCCCTTCATAAATGTTACCTAGCTCACACTCCAACAGCTTGTCAAGTCCCAAACACCATACGACTCCACTCGCTCCTACGTAACATGCTCACACGCCTGTTTGATGTCCAAGCACCTCGCTCACAAAACCTCCTTTATCCCCTCCCTCCAACCTTTCCTAGGATGACCCCTACCCTTCCTTCCCTGCATCCCAGATTTATACACCCTCCAAGTTTCCCTATTCTGCTCCATCCCCTCTAATGTACAAACCACCACAACAATTCCACTACTCTCTCTGGATAACACTTTTACTAATACTGCACCTCCTTCTAATCTCTAAGTTACTAATTCTCTGAATATTTACATTACACATTGCCCTCAGACACATCACCACTGCCTCCAGCCTCCTTAGTGCAACATTCACAACCCATGCTTCACACTCATATAAGAGTGTACCACTGTACTCTCACACATTCCTCTCTTGCCTCCAATGATTATGTTCAGTTTCCACAGATGCTTCAATGCACCACCCACCTTCCTCTGCCCCCCTCTCTTCAATTCTATGGTTCACCTTATCTTTCATAGACCCATCCACCAACACGTCCACTTCCAAATATATGAACACATTCATTAATCAATAACTTAAATAAGAATTGCTGAACCCATAAGGGTCATACAGCACCTACGAAATGGGAGGAACCGATTGTTAATCAAGTTTAATCCAAGAAGGTAACTCCATTGCCTTTGATTAAAAGCCTTGGATCAACATCAAGGACCCCTCTTCCATTTCTTGTAGAGTACCTGTTTTTAGTTCTATCAGTGCATACAAGTGAAGTTATACATTTCAGTACTAAGATTAATTCAATTAATTTTGTGTCAAGCTCAATAAAGCTCTACACAGAAGGAAATACTTTCACAGAAAAAGCTTACTCATTATGTACCATTTCTTCAATACTAATGACCAAATGCCTTTGCATTCAAAAATCATACATACCTCTTTCATTTTAATCATGGATGTGCCGCATGTCGGACAAGCGTAGAATCCTGCTTTAATGAGATCGTGAAAGCATGGTCGATGTATGAGATGTCCACAAGGAGGAACATGTGACACAATCCTTGATGTGTGGATATCTTCTAGGCAAACCGGGCAGTTGGTTTTGCTCATTTTTTCAATACACTGAAAATGAAGCAGTAAATCAAAATGTATGTATATTGTACACCCAAATACAGTGGACCCCCGGTTTACGATCAGCTCCCAATGCGACCAATAATGTAAGTGTATTTATGTAAGTGCATTTGTACGTGTATGTTTAGGGGTCTAAAATGGACTAATCCAATTCACAGTATTCTTTATGGGAACAAATTCGTTCAGTAATGGCACCGAACATACTTCTGGAATGAAATAATATCATAAGCCGGGGGTCCACTGTACAAGCATAATAAAAACTGGTCAGTGGCACAAATGGAGGTGATAAGAGAAATTGGAATGAATGCCATATTTTTTTGGCCTCGTATTAAGCCCAGTACAGGTGCTCGTCTATTTACAATAGTTCAACTTACAATATTTTGACTTTATGAGGCTGCAAAAGCAGTTACTTTAGAGATGAAACTTAAGATAATTACCCAGCAATAGCGGCAAGTTCCTAACTTGTATTCATTTATTTACTATTCAATACTGGTATTTTTTTTTTTTTTTTTTTTTTATTATCACACCGGCCGATTCCCACCAAGGCAGGGTGGCCCGAAAAAGAAAAACTTTCACCATCATTCACTCCATCACTGTCTTGCCAGAAGGGTGCTTTACACTACAGTTTTTAAACTGCAACATTAACACCCCTCCTTCAGAGTGCAGGCACTGTACTTCCCATCTCCAGGACTCAAGTCCGGCCTGCCGGTTTCCCTGAATCCCTTCATAAATGTTACTTTGTTCACACTCCAACAGCACGTCAAGTATTAAAAACCATTTGGTATTTAGTTACAGTAATTATCTGTTTAGTTATTAAGTGAGAGTTATTTACTTATTTAGAATACATATATTCCTTTTCAACTTACGATATTTTTTGACTTACTATGGGTGCACTGAAACACACAATGCATTACCATCAAACACTAACCTTATGACTATTCTTGATATCCCTGGGGAGACACAGTTCACAGGTGTCACAGTGGAAATACTTGTCTCGGCCGCCCACGCGACACAAACCACAACCATCACAATGGTACTGATCTTTGTCCTCGTCATCGTAAAGTTTACACAGCCGACAAAAGTACTGGTAAAATAAAAAACACAGTATTATAAAATCTAGGTCATCTAATATCAATGCATATTAAGAGAAAATGCAAAACATTTATGAAGAAAAAGCGAAATTGTGGCGTTATACAATACAGTAGAACTCCCCATATCCACGAATTTGGTTTCTGCAGTTTCAGTTATCCATAGTTTACTGTGGCTTGAAAATAACCCCTAATTTTGCTTAATAATGAACCCAAAGCACAAAAGTTGTGATGGTGACAGTTCTTCAAAGCCTAAGAGAAGCTGTGAAGTGCTAATTCATGGCTGAGCATAACCATCATAGTGGTCAGTGGTCAGTCGTCTCAGTGGTCAGTGGTCAGTCGTCACGTGAGGTCACAGACCCTGAGCTGCTTTGGGGATTAGCGTGGACGGTTACAAAGCATGGCTTGCTTCTGCAGTGTTTTAAAAACTGAGTTTGGAGAGTTGAAGGAGGAGGTCTTGCTTCTCCAGGAGGAGATTAGGAGGCTGAAGGTCCACCTCAATGGGCCTGGGAGAGTGTGTGAGGTGGTTGGAGATGTGGGGAATGAGGCTTCTAGCAGTGAGGTGCAGTCTGTCTCTCACTGTGAGGGGCTGTAGGTGGGGAGTTTGCAACGGGTACCAGCAGTGAGGTGCAGCCCAGCACCTGTACAAGTGGCGAGTTGTTCACAGTAATGGGAGGCGCATCAGAGTAAGGAAAGTTAAGAGTGAAGATCTGAAGGTAGGAAATCGCTTCTCTGTTCTCCAGGATGAATGTACTTCAGTGGCCAGTGAAGGTAAGGGTTACACTGCCCTGCTAATGAAGGTAAGGGGCCATTCTTGTGGTTTGGTGACTCTCAGGTAAGATATGTTGACCGTGCTTTTTGTAATAGGAATAAGAAGATGAGAGATAGAGTGTGCTTCCCTGGAGTGGTGTTGGGGACATTGTCAACAGACTGGATAATATCATGTCAGGTTTAATGGGGAACAAGCCCATTATCTGTCTCAGTGCTGGGGGAAATGATATTGGGAAGGGTAAGGAGAGTAGAGCTGCTAGATAAGTACAGGTCAGCTATAGATTTCATTAAGTTTAAGGGAGGGATCCCAATAAAATGTAGAATTTGCTAGAAGGGGAGTAGGAAAAAGAAAGGTGTCTAGGGCAATTTGGGGTAAATTGCTGGCTAGACAGATACGCAAGGAATTGCAATTCCATCATTTACAATGGAACAATTTTTTATGCAAACATGATAGTAGCAAGGGATGGGGTTCATTCTTGGGCAAGGGGTGGTAGCACTTGCAAGACTCGATTGAGAAGGCCATTGGTGAAATGCCATGATTTTAAAATGATGGAAGATTAGAGGTATGGGTTTTGTGTGGGAAACAAGAGGTTGCAACACTAGGGTTGGAAACAGTAAATGTATAAAAGGCATTCAGCATGAAGTTATAAATAAGACAATGGAAACAGGTCAGAAAACAAAGGGGACAGCAGAGGGCAGCAGGGACTAGCTCCTTAAGGTTTACTATACTATAGCAGGTGTTAAGATTAAGATAGATGAGCTAAGATTAATTGCAAGTGCAGGAAACGTAGATATTATTGCTATAAAAGAGACCTGGCTCAATCTGAAAAGATAGAGAGATGCCATCTAATGTCACATACCAGGCTTAAATTATTTCCACAATGCAGGGGTCAACAGGAAAGGTGGTGGAAATAGCGATGTATTCAGAGACAATTAAATTGTTGTGTTAGACAAGATATTAAATTAGAAGCGTCAGCACTGAATCTGTTTGGTTACAGTTTCCCGGGGGCCGGAAAAACAAATTTTGGGTGTGATTTACAGGGCCCCAAATTTGATAGGGAGTGGTAAACTTCTATGGACGAAATTCGAAGCATTAATAGGGAAAATGGTGCTAATGGGGATTTCAAATGACAAGGGGACTGGAGAAAGGGACGGGAAAATTTTAGAGTGGGTCCCTTTTGATAACCCAGGGTTTTTGTTTTTTTTTTAAAACATTTTGACAGAGCCAATAGGGGAAAAACCCCCTTTACTTTGGGTTTTTGCCAGTTTGGGAACACTAATTAATAATCTTTTGGGGGTTAAGAGAGCTTGGGGAGAGTGATCAAAATCATCAGTTTTAACTATCATGGAATTTCCCCAAAAATGGCAACAAGTCTCCGTCCCTGACTTTGCTTTGGTGATTTCAAGGGGGAAAAATTACTTGGTTTAGCTGGGGAAAGCCTGACTAGGGGTCGGTTTGGTGGGGGGTTACGATATGATGTTTCCAGGGCATAGTTCTAGCGCTAGTCAAATTATGTTCCAAATAGGGAAAATAGATCAAACAAAAAAGATCCAAATTTATGAAAAAAAGATTAAAATTTGATTTGGGCAAAAAAGGGGGCATAAATAGGCAAATCAAAAAAGGGAGAGGGGCAATTAAGGGAAAACGTATTTCAGTTAAAAGAGAAATAAAAAAAGGGAATTAGAAAAACAAAAAAGATTATGAGGGTTTAAAGTTGCAAGAGGGAATCGAGACTAACCAAAAGGTTTTTTCAGGGATACAGAAGTAAAATCGGGACAAGATAGGCCCCCAAAAGTTCCTCGGGTCAGCCCCTGACAGTATAAAAGGAAATGTGTGAATTTTTAACAAAACTTCCCCTCGGTTTTTTTCACAGGAGGATACCGTATATTCCCCGTAATGATAAATTTATTAGAACAGGACGATAATAAACTGTGCACTATTAGGGGGCACAAGTGAATGGTCTTAGGCAAATGATAAATTAAAACCTAAAAAATCCCCAGGGCCCTGAGAACTGTATCAGGGTTCTAAAAGGGAAATTTAAAAAGGATTAGCACACCCCTTTTCTAATCTTTTCAAAAAAATCACAAAAACTGGCATGTGCCAGATAAATGGAAAATGGGAAATGTGATACCTATTTTCAAAAACAGGTGACAGGTCCTTAGTTCGAACTATGACCAATAACCTAACCTCCCAAATGGGAAAAAATTTATGGAATCAATAATTGCCGAGGCAGTTCGTAGCCACCTTGAAAAGAAAATTAATCCCAAAATCTCGCTGGTTTTAAAAGGGAGTTCCTGCCTTACGAACTTTGTAAACCGATGTCCGCGACATATACAGAGGACGGGAGTTCTCGGATGTCAAATGTTAAAGAGCCAACATTGCAAGGGGTACGTCTCCGCCCCCGGGCAGGAAGGTACATAAGTGACTTCTTTGTGGGATTGGGAGATCTGGAGTTCAAGCTGTTCAAAATGTCATTTGCCACATGATGGAAATTCTGTTGGACTATGGTATGGGGCAGAATGACAGTACCACATACAAGAATTGAGAGAAAGATGTTTTTCAATAGTGATAGGAGTAGTATCGGATTATTCGAAAGGAGAGAGAGGAAAGATCATGAGCTTGGGTAGCATTCTGGACAGTGTCGATGCGGCGTACCGCTCTTGAGAGCGTGAATATGAAAATATCTATGCCAACAGACGCAGGAAGCGCTTTGGCAATACTTATGGTTAGAAAGGTAGGCAGAAGAAGAAGTTGTGGGTCTTAAAGTAAGATTTTCCATTGTGTGGTCCGAAAACTGAGGGTGGAAGAGGGAGAGTGCTTGACGTGGTCGGTCGTTCCGAGTAGAATGGGAAGGTAACGACGGAGGCATCATCAGGAGATTGACGTTGGGTTTAGGAGTAGGACCGGAGTAGTTGGTCCGGCATGATAAATGGTGTGGGCGATTCGGAAAATGCCGTACGTAGAGGGAAGAAGCCGGAAGCATAGTCAAAGGAGGAGCGGAGTTCAGGACAAATCGAAGGAGTCAGTCGAAGACCGGTACCTGAAGCGGGTGATGGAAACAGCACCAGCAAGAGGTACAGGGCATCAGGAGTGTCGAAGAGTGATCTAAACACAGGCAGGGTCAGAATGAG